AGAATCACTGATTGGCTGCCTCCTGCATGCTCTGTACTAGGGATGGAGCCCACAACCCAGGCATGTGCCCTGACTGGGAATGGAACTGTGACCTCCTGGTTCATAGGTGATGCTCAACCACTGAGCCACGCTGGCCGGGCATGGGCCCTGACCGGGAATCAAACCGGGACAGCGCCCAGACCACCACGCCACACCTTAAGAGCCTGTTTTGAGTTTAGGAGAGCTGAGCGGGTGACACAGGACCCCACGGGCACCCTGTGGGTGGAGGCACCGTCCCCTGCCCTCCAGGTGCTCCTGGTGGCAGCTGAGACCGCAGTGGGGATTCCTAGCAACGGGGTCCTCTCCGGCACCCCTGGCTCTGGCATGGCTGCCTGTGGTCCCTTTGACGGCAAGCACTGCTGCCCGAGACCTTTGACGCCACGGTCGCAGCGTTGGCCTTCCTGCCGCTGTCTGCCCTGGGGATCGGCGAGTGTGACCGGACGGAAGGCATCCATCTAACCCCTGACATCCAGCATCTCCGAGGGTTATTTTTTCGATTCAGTTTGCGAACATCTTTCCTCATGACGTGTTTTCCAGAAGAACCACCGGCCGGGGCCAGGCTGAGTGAGCAGTTTTCAGAGGGATCAGAGGGGGGGAGCCCAGTGCCGCCGGGACCGCAGCCCACGCGTCCTCTGGAAATGCTGGCCCAGGAGGAGGGGGGCTCAGTTGGCCGAGTCGTCCTGTGCGCCCACAGGTGGCGGGTTTGAGCCCCGGTCCAGACCCGCGTGGGAACCCCGACCGCTGTTTCTGTCTCTCTGTCTCTCCCAACACGTCTCTCGGTGAGGATTAAAAATACAAAAACAAAACCCTTTTTGCGTGTTCAGATGCTCCCGCACACACACATGCGCATCCACAAAGCGAGCCGCCATCTCGCTGACGCTGTGGGGCCGCCATCCTGTCCGGGCGCCGCGCCGTGTGGAGGGTGGAGGTCGTCATGGACTCGGTTTTCTGAAGGAGAGACTCAAGGACCCCGTCTTCCCGGACCCCCTGTTCCTGCCACTCAGAGACGCAGCTTAGGGAGAGGTGGCCCCGTGTGCAGAGGCGTGTGGGTGAGCCCCGCTGCCGGGACAGCGGTGGCTTCAAAGCCGGGGGGGGGGGCGGTGAGGAAATGCGCCCCAGTTCACCTTCCTGTGAGGGATGCCGACACTTCAGTGTCAGACGGACATGAAGACACCCTGACGGGCATGAGGACACCCAGACGGACATGAGGTCACCCAGACAGACATGAAACACCCAGACAGGCATGACACACCCAGACGGGCATGAGGACACCCAGACGGACATGAAATACCCAGATGGACATGAGGTCACCCAGATGGACATGAAATACCTAGATGGACATGAGGACACCCAGACGGACATGAAATACCCAGATGGACATGAAGAACGCCAGACGGACATGAGGTCTCCCAGACAGACATGAAACCCCCAGACAGGCATGACACACCCAGACGGGCCTGAGGACACCCAGACAGACATGAAATACCCAGACAGGCATGAGAGACCCAGATGGACATGAGGACACCCAGACGGACATGAGGACACCCAGACAGACACGAAATACCCAGACAGGCATGAGAGACCCAGACGGACATGACACACCCAGACGGACATGAGGACACCCAGACAGACATGAAATACCCAGACAGACATGAAATACCCAGACGGACATGAGGACACCCAGATGGGAACTAAATTATGCACCTGTAAGCCGATAGGGCCTGAGGCAGTGAATAGAAATGAGGAAAATAAAACAAAGGCGTAGGCCGTACATAAATGCAGTGTAGAATGGAACACGTGGAAAATTTATATCCTGAACAGCAGGGGGTCCAGCCTCTGTCACCACAGGCTGGGGCCCCTCTGAGGAGCTTAGAGGTAGGACCATGGACGGCCCGCCACGCCCTCCGGGTACAGGCAAGAGACATGGAAACGGCCCCCACACACGCTTGCGCACGCGTGTTCACTGCAGAATCATTCGCAATAGCCCTAGAGAAGAAACCACA